ATAACAGAAAGCCCGACTTTACGTTTATTCCCAAAATGTTTAACCTAACAGAAAATGATCCCAGAGCAATAGAACATTTGGCGCTAGGTTTTTTAGAATTGAAAAAGGATACAAAAGTGATTGAAACACCACATATCCTTGGCCAGCTTTGTGATTACATGTTTAGGGCACTCAAAGATAGCTACAAGTCCTATGTTTTTGGATTCGTTTCAAACTTCAAGGACATTATTTTTGTGAAGATGAGAAAATCGATGACAGAACTGGGCGAGGAAAATATTATCACCACAAGAAGTCCAAAATTGAGTCTTTTCTCCACTGGAATTCAGAACTCTGATGGATATAGTTATCTCAAAAGACTTTTAAACACTCCAACACAACAAACATGGACAGACAATCGAACCTTTACACTTGGAAAATTTATTACTGCAGGAGCAACGTCGTTGGTGTTTGATTTTGGAGATGGTAAGATTATTAAACTTGCCAAAACACCAAGCGACAACACACATATCATTACAGAAACAAAAACTATTACTTTTTTGGACGAGAAAGGAGTGAATCCTCTTCCAAAAATTGTTGAGCATGGAAATTATTGGATTGTGATGGAAAAGTGTTATCCCTGTACATCTTTATCTAAATCAGAAATGAAAGCTTTGGTGGAATTGGTAAAAAGTTTTCACCAAGCAGGTGTGTTACATAGAGATATTAGGCCTCAAAATATAATGAAAACAGATAGTACTCCATTATTAATTGATTTTGGATTCTCTGTAAGGATTGAAGAACACCACTCAAACTTTGCAGGCACTTCAACATTTTGCGCAGAACAATATTCTGAACATTGGACACACAGATTAACCTCAACCTATCTCAAAATCTATGACTATGAATCCTTGTTGAAAGTTTTTGTCTACTTTGCAGACACAACTGTCAAAGATTCTATCGATAGTTGCAACTTAATTGGGACTCAAAGAAGACAATATTTCGTAAAATTTTGGAAAAAATATGCAAAAAATAATATGACATTTAAGACAGCATTAAATGCTATCATCAAACTCGAGGAACAGGATGACATTACACCCATATTTGCTACATTTATCGACAATATTGATGAATATGAATAATCGTCGAATTCGAATGCCAATGGAGAAGGAATTCAAGGAAAATTTTAAATTTCTGCTCGTCTTATTGTACATTGTTTTCAATAAAATTTCATCATTACAGGTTTCTCATCACTTCCTTAAGTACTGATGTAATGATTGGCCAAAACACCAAACATTGCACCATGTTCTTGTTTTCTGTATGTTTGAGAGTTTTTAAAGGTTCTTGTTTGAGTTTTTATTAGCCTTCTTCATAAGCTTCCAGTCCTCGAATTACAATGTTTGGTCTCGTCTGATCGAATAACCACTCAATACTATCGGTTGAGTTTTGGTTGTTGTTTGCAGTGGCACTTTGAGAGTTTTTCAATCATTGATTTAGATCGATCAACGAAGACTCATTTAAAATTAAAAACAGTCCCTCATTGGAAAACGAGGATTTCATTGTCACTCTTTTTTCTTCGAACGAGTCGAACCGATTTGCCAATAAAGCATGAGTTTTTCATTGACGTCATCCGAGTACACAGAATATTCATAATGCCATCGTCCACAAAAAGTTGCATCATCCAACATGGTAAAGAGAATTGCCCAATCTCAATCCAAGTAAGTTCCTGTATCGTTGTGTTAATTCCAACTGGTCACATTTTTGTGTGTATCGTATCTGTGTTCTTGAAAGAGTTTCATGGCCCCACATCCCTTAATTGGATAACTCCTGAAACTGTCCAATTCTGATATTGAACAATTCGAGAGAACAATAGTTCTTGAGAGTATTCAACCGTTTGTCCTCTGCTGTTAAAAACGTTCATATTCATGATCATGCTTGTCTTTCCAATGTTATCTTCATTGTAGATGTGAACGACTTTTGCTCCATTGACATAGATTTTTCATTTTACGAATTCATAAAACGCCGATACCTGTTGGATATCCGAACCATTTGTAAAAACTGAAGATAACATAATCTGGTTTGCACTTGGATAGAGACATTGATACTTGAGTGTTTTGAAACATCTAAAATTGTGTAAACATTTGGATGATGCCTGTTAAGGTAAGGAAAATGGTATAATCATCAAATTTTGTTCCTTTACTTTTGCATTCTGCGAAAAGTCCAACAAGATGATTTTTGTCATTCATTTGGATCATGCAGGAAGTATGAGGAGTTTCATCGCCTGACCACTCGGATCATCTGATTGAAGAGACAACAAAAATAGGTGTATGAACAACGAGAGGAACCATCAACCCGCACACTCGCCAGTCGACTCATCTCATTGTAGTCCCATTATTTTGGAATCACCATCACCAATAACAACAACTTCTGGAGAAGAAAACATGTTATCTTCTTCTGCTCCGGCTACTAGTAGAAAAAAGTATGAGCCAATCATTCCAAAACCATTATTCTATGTGAGCCTTGTTGTTACAATTCTTGGTGCTCTTGTGATCATCTACAGATCATACAATATTTCTAGAGAATTTGTTCAATATGGAAATGTTTTCTTTCCATTACGACTGAGAGAAGGATGGTTTATGGGCATGCTTCAGGTTTGTAGTCTATTCCGATAATCATCCTATACGAGACTTAAACTTCAAAATTTCAAATATTTATTATTCATGATGATGATGCAAATGAATAGGATTTGACAGATCCACAGTGGGACAGCTTTCGACAATTCATACCAATGCTTTTAATAGGAGCAGTAATTTTCGTGTCGATTTCTAGAGCAATAAGACACTTCATATTTCCAACTGTAAGTGTGTTGTGGACACTGTCACACACATTACAATGATTTGAATTCAGAATGTTAAACCAATATTAATTTATAATATAGTATTTTCCATTGGATTTGTGTATTTTCTGTACGGAAACTGCTCAATCTTTCTAATAGCAATTGCTCTTTTAATTATGGAATTGGAAAAGTATTCAAGAAAAGCAAGCTCAATGATTTATTTTCCTGGTTATTTAATTTATCAATATTATTCACAAGCAAATACTATGATGGATATCGATTTTATAATTTCTTTTTACCTTCCTACTTGGAGAGTAATAGAGGCGTGCTCAGCTGGGAAACCTATTTCAATATCATGTTTTGTAGACTCATTAGCTACAATATGGATTATTCTGAACAACTTCGAAAGGTACCCTCAGATGGCATATCTGTTAAAAAAAGACGAAGAAAAGTGGTCTGAATATCGTCAAAGACAAGAATCAACATTGAATGTTGAAGCTGATTTTAATTTATTACATTATTTTGCGTATCTTTTCTATGTACCATTATTTGTGGGAGGACCAGTGTGTGGCTATACTGCATTCATATCCTATGTTAAATATTCAACTCAAAAGAGCTTTCATATAAGCAATTAATATGGCACACCATCCGATTGATCTCTTACATTGTATTACTCGAAATATATCTTCACCTATTTTACACTGTTGGATTTAATGAAAAGGGTCTGTGGAAATCTAATTCATGGGTTGGACCTCAAGCAAGTCTCGCTCCATTTGATGTAGGGTGTGTTGGCATATCCACTCTTACATTTATGTATATGAAATTTTTAATCATTTGGAGACTTTTTAGGTTATGGTCGCTTTGGGATGGAATTAATCCTCCAGAGAATATGAACCGATGCGTGAATAATAATTATTTGGTGTCAGATTTTTGGAGATCGTGGCATAGATCCTTGTACTTGTGGATTCTAAAGTATCTCTATATTCCTCTTGGAGGAAGCAAATCAAAAGTTTGGAGCGTGTGGATTATTTTCACATTTATTGCTTTGTGGCATGATTTATGGTGGAGATGGTTGGCATGGTAAGTTTTTTCTCAACTTTTCAATTTTTCTTAAACATTCATGATCTTGTTGACAAAAAGGGCTTGGATTAATTGTTGCTTGATCATCTTGGAGGCAATCCTAATGTTCTTTGTATTTCCAAAAATCAAATGGATAGAAAATATGAGAACCAATCGCAAGTACATGTTTGCAACTCTATGTGGTTTTGGTGGAGCTGTGAGCATTATTACCTTAGTCATTGCCAATCTCGCAATCATGCACGGATTTGCTGACACTCCTCTCTTCATTCATCAGTTGTTCTGGCAATCTGGAGGATTTGTTTTCTTGGGTGTTGCTCTTTTCTATTTGATGTTTGTTGTCATGGTCATGATTCATGTTAGAGATTTGGAAAAGGTGAAAGGAGAGCTATTCTTGAGATGAAAAAATTGGTTGTAATGCTGTGAGCTTGTCTTTCTTTGTACTTTGGCAGTCATCAGTCATCACACCATCGCAAATTTCATCAATTAAAAAAATATTCAAATTTCACAGAACAACAACAACAAGATGCCAGGCAAAATTGCAGGATTGCTCAGTCAATGGGAGAATAAATCACAAGAAGCAAACAACTCATCGGTACCTGTTAAAAAACCAGTCTCCACCACTTCTTCCACTGTGAAAAAGGAAGAACCAAAAACCACAGCACCCACACAGGAACCACAGAAGGTTGCCACACCTCCATCCACTACTTTCAGTGTTCCTCCACAAAAGAAAGGAGCAATTTCAACACAAACTCCAATGAAAGAATCAGCTTCTGCAGTGCCTCCATCCGATAAGTCATCATCGTCATCACCAAAAGAGTCTTCACCACAAAAGGTAGCAACACCTCCTCCAAGTAGCAGCACCACTCCATCTGTGCCATTAAAATCTTCTGGAACAGCAAAATTATCTACAGATGATGTGTTAGATCCCGAATATCTGAAAAAGTTGGAAGCTTTTGTAGTTGCTATTGAGAAACAAGTTGATCGATTGGAAACAATGGCTAAAAAATAAGTAGATGACAGGGTGTATGTTATCAACACAAACAACAGTTTGACAAAATTTGTAGTATAAATCTCACCAAACTCGAGCTCTGTTGCATAATGTCAATTATTACAAAAATTAATACTAATTTGGTTGTGTTGGCTCGTCGTACGAGTTCATAGTTCAGTGCGCCAAAACAAACCATTGGCTATTGGAGTTGTAAACTTTACAGTCGTTTTTTCCTTAAACCGCCAACCTTCCCAGAGCAAGCCTTAGCAAAAAAACCAACAACTACAACATCTCAGCAACAACAACAACCATGAGAGAAATTGTGCACATCCAAGCAGGCCAATGTGGTAATCAAATTGGTGCTAAATTCTGGGAAGTCATCTCTGATGAACACGGTGTGGATCCAACTGGTGCATACGGTGGTGATTCCGACTTGCAATTGGAAAGAATTAATGTTTACTACAATGAAGCAACTGGTGGAAGATATGTCCCTCGTGCAATTTTGATGGACTTGGAACCAGGTACAATGGACTCTGTCAGAGCTGGTCCATACGGTCAAATCTTTAGACCAGATAACTTTGTCTTTGGTCAAACCGGAGCAGGTAACAACTGGGCTAAGGGACACTACACTGAAGGAGCTGAATTGATTGATTCAGTTTTGGATGTGGTGAGAAAGGAAGCTGAAAGCTGCGACTGTTTGCAAGGTTTCCAAATTGCTCACTCATTGGGAGGTGGTACTGGTTCAGGAATGGGTACTTTGTTGATTTCCAAGATTAGAGAAGAGTATCCAGACAGAATGATGATGACCTTCTCTGTCTTCCCATCACCAAAGGTCTCTGATACTGTCGTTGAACCATACAATGCTACTCTCTCTGTTCACCAACTTGTTGAAAATGCTGATGAAGTCATGTGTATTGACAATGAGGCTTTGTATGATATTTGCTTTAGAACTTTGAAGCTTACTACACCAACATTTGGCGATTTGAACCATTTGGTCTCAATTGTCATGTCTGGAGTTACTTGCTGCTTGCGTTTCCCAGGTCAATTGAACTCTGATTTGAGAAAGTTGGCAGTTAACTTGATTCCATTCCCACGTCTTCACTTCTTCTTGATCGGATTCGCTCCATTGACCTCAAGAGGATCTCAACAATACAGAGCTTTGACTGTCCCAGAATTGACTCAACAAATGTTCGATGCTAAGAATATGATGGCTGCTTCTGATCCAAGACACGGTAGATATTTGACCGCTTCTGCCATGTTCAGAGGTAGAATGAGTACTAAGGAAGTTGATGAACAAATGCTCAACGTTCAAAACAAGAACAGCTCATACTTTGTTGAATGGATTCCAAACAACATCAAGTCATCTGTTTGCGACATTCCACCAAGAGGTTTGAAGATGGCCGCTACTTTCATTGGTAACTCCACTGCTATTCAAGAAATGTTCAAGAGAGTCTCTGAACAATTCACTGCCATGTTCAGAAGAAAGGCTTTCTTGCACTGGTACACTGGTGAGGGTATGGATGAAATGGAATTCACTGAAGCTGAATCCAACATGAACGACTTGGTCTCTGAATACCAACAATACCAAGATGCTACAGCTGAAGAAGATGGAGAATTCGATGAAAATGCTGAGGGTGAAGCAAACGCTGAAGAACAACCAGCTGACTACTAATTTGAATAAACTGGTTTTCGAAACGTTGCTGATACAAAGGTCGAGGATTCATAATTACACTCGTCACAAGATTTGAATTTATTATACAATCGTGAGGGCAGTCTTTTCTCGGTAAAGGGAAACAGCAAAATACCATTCAATCTTGATGTCAATACTATCATCAAAACATGTGCCTAAATCAGAGATGGCATCATCTAGAATCATTTTGACATTCAAACTTCTCTTATCGAAATTGAAGTTTAGAACCACGATCGCCTTATCTCTTAGCAGCTTACTTTTGGCAAACTTGTTCCATTGATCGTTGTGGCCTACCTGACCAGAAACAAAATTGAGGCCGTAAGAATTGGGCAGCTTTTTACTGCCTAAAATTCCACTTCTGGTTGAAATTTTGTGGTCGTAGTCTTTTGAAATTATCCCAACAACAATTTCATTGTCGGCGTTCACCTTGTCAATTTTGATTTGAATTTCGTTATTTAGTGGAGTGATCTTTTGTTCACAGCTAAAGTGTATGACATTGGATGATTAACAATGTTATTAATAATAAAACAATTCAAAACAAACACATTTCAAAACAAACACATACCGAATCGTGTAGTAATCCGATCCAAACATCTTGTTTTGAAGCAATGTAACCGTCTTTTGATTATTGGTCACTCCAAAGTAGTTATGCTTAACACTGGTGTCAAATTTAAAGCTTTGTTTCTGTTGCTTTAACATCAATTGATAATATTCATCAACATTAACATTCTCTTTTGGATCACGAGATGGTTTTGACACTTCTGTTTTTGATTTTTGATGTTTAAACATGCCAACCATCAAATTGGATTTTGATGAATTCTTTCGAGTGAGAGGCGATGAGGTAGGACTTGCAGCACCATTTCTCGTTTGATGAGCTTCTTCATGTTGATGCTGATTCAATTCAGCAGATACAGTTGAATAGTACAATTTCAAACTCATTCTCTTCTTTTGATTCACAGCAGTCAAAGTTCCTTTTCTTGGATGACGAGCAGCAGAAGCACTTCCATTCATGATTCGATTCGAGTCTAAATTTGTCAATGCTGTCGTTGTTGCCGTAATGTTGAGGCCACCATTCACGACATTTCCAGTCTCATTCTCCTGATGATCTGCTGTCAAATGTCTTGATGACAAAAGTGGAGTCAATAACTGATTCATTGTTGTTTTCATTCGTTCATGGAATTGAATTTGATGATTCATGGATTCAATGAGTTGTTGTCGTTGTTTCATGTCTGTGAACAATCTAAATTTTTTAAATCGTAACAACCATGGTGAATAGAGAATTTCTGACACACTTTGTGGTCTCTTACTGGTGTCATTGGTTAAAATATTCATGACAAGTGACACAATTCTTCGATCACTGCAATTCTCTTCAAGAATGGAATTTGTTTTTTCTTCATCGATCGAACCCATCGTTAACTTGGGACAATCTTTTTGAACAATGAGTTTGAAAAGTAAATAGCCTGCATTCCATATATTTTCCATCTTGCCAGATTCAATGTCTTGTTCAACAACAACAACACTTTGATTCAATATTGACAATAAATAACTTTCAACATTCAAATAAATTCCAACATGTTTTTGTAATTCACTGGACACATTTCCTCTGATGAACATGTTATTTTCTAATAAATGACTTGTCATGAACTTGTTTGGAAAGACCTTGTTTTTAGAGTGAAACATCATCAAGACTTCTAAGAATTGATTAAATATGTGAACTGCACAATCTGGTGTCACACATGCATTTTCCATAAAAGTATGATTCATTGAATGCATTACACTCTTTTGACAAGATGATTGTTGAGTTGAAGTACTGACAGTTGAAGCAATAGTAGAATTGGTTGAAGTACTGACAGTAGGACTCAAAAGTAATTCTGTTAATTTGATACTCGATGGTATATATTCCATCGTATAGAGTAGACCAGTAATTTTGAATGGATTTGAACTTTCATCTACCACCAAATACAAGTCATAGAGTTGAGCGATATTGACATGATAGGAAAGTGAAAGCAATTCAACGAACTGGAATTGTGACATGAAATATTTACAACAATGATTAAAAACACATCATGGTTCACACATACCTTCTTTTTCAACTCTCCTTCATTATTCAAAACAGATTGAATCAATGTTTCAGAATTTTCACCAAAATGAATATATCTTGCAACACAATACTCGATATTATCTTCATCTTCACTGTCAGATGTCAAATCCTCATCATCCTCCATCAGGTCATCATCCAATATTTCTTCATTTCTCTTTTGCATTAAAACCAAATCTTCAAAATCTGAAAATGAAGTACTCGTATTCAAATGTGATTCAGAGGCAGGTGATTGCACAGGTGACACTGAATAATGATGACTCAAATAATGAGGAGGAGGAGGAGGAGTCATTGGTGTTGTAGTGGATGTGGTGTGAAGTGATGATGGTGTCGTTCCATGATGATGTGAAGCTATTGTTGTTGGAGAGATTGATGGAATGGTATTATTGCTGAAATGTTGTTTGAAAGTAGATGTGGCAGCGATATCTGAATGGTGTTGATGTTGTTGTGAATGTTGTTGTTGTTGTTGTTGTTGTGAATGATGACTCATCCTATGAGTGATGGAATGAAGTGTGTATTCATAGAGTGAGAGACCATTTCCATCATCACCACCATGATGATTAGAATTTAGAGTTGTACTATTCGTTGTAGAAGCATCATCTACGAGTGAATGATTCAATGAATGATTCAACTCCTTTCGATCCTCAATATGAAAGGATTTATAGGGAATTAATTTGGGATTTAATTTTGAAGAGAGGAGGAAATTGGCGGAAGACGGAGAAGATGTCATCATCCAAGAAGAAGAAATAGATTCATAGGATGATTGTTGTTGTGGAGAATGAACAGATGACGTGACAGAATTCAATGTTGTTGTTGTTGTTGTTGTATGGGAAGAGGATGCAAGAACGAGTGTGGAATAGTGATGGGATTCATGTTTGGGAGGAGGAGATGAATCCATACATGAGGAGGAAATGTCCTTTTGACTGGAGCTGACATTGGAAAAATAAGCAAAGTGGAGTCGGTAGGAATGGGGAATGTGGTTGAACAGTGGCTGTTGTTGTGAAGAGTCACCGCTGGTTCTTGGCTTTTCAATCATTTTTTTATGACAGTTGACAGCACGTGAAAAATGTGGATTGAATTTGGCAAAGGTGCACTCATCAGACAAGATCACACACAGAGAGACCAAACTTCGAGCTCGTTTCAAATTGTCGTCTTTTTAATGAAACGTTCGTTTGGAAAAGAAGTAATCAAAATCGATTTCAATTCATTCAACAATTTTGAAATTTTACATTCATTGAAATATTAAAAAAAATTATAAAAAAAATGTCTTTTGCCTTATTGGACCAATTGGATGATCATGAACTTGTTGTTGTACTGAAACATCAACGCTCCAAAAAGAATTTCAAAAAGAAATCACTCTTTCGACAAGAATATTCTCTCATTGCCTTTGATCATGTCCTTTGGTTTTATATTTTGACTTTTATGGATTTTAAATTCTTGTTTCATATTGGTGTTCGAATTGACAAAATGAGATGTGAAATGAATTATTCAAAACCTATTTGTCATCATGTATTGATGTGTGAATTTAAAACATTGTTGAATGGAGAAGAAGAGAAAGATACTCTGTGAGTGTGGTTTGAGAAATTTATGCCTTT